CAAACGGTTGTTTCACCTTGCATATCAACTTAGGCTGAGGACTAAGATTGTACAGCTGTCAATATCGGCGGTTACGTGGCGACTTAGTAATAGCTTACCAATTTTTGAGGAATCCCAACGACGTCTGCTGCCATCTACTGCAACTAAGTCACAACACGAATTTGAGGGGTCAGCAGCTCAAGTTGGCCATGCAATAGAGCCGGCTAGAATGTCGCGAAATTTTAGATCTCTTCGTGCCAGCCAGCCATGTAACGCCATCCCAAAGTATGTTTCCGCCTCCCCCCCTCCACGTTGTGTTTATAAACGCAGTGTCGTTACCATAACACGCCTACATTACCGGCTACAGCCTGAGAACCAGCATTGACTTACATGACCGAGACTGACTTCTTCATGCATCCTTGTGAATTCACCAAAAGACTATGTCCTCACCATTTTGTGGTTTTTGTTCTGGCCATCCTACGGGAGTTGTTAGACATTTGTTTTTTTACCCGTTATACATCATTGTTCCATTGTACAGATACCCATCTACCATGACAACCGACGGCGGAACGCCTTTGGAATCTTCGTAATTGGATACGTTCTGCGACTGTTTTGGCTGAGAATGTATTTAAACGATGGCCTAGACAAATACTTCCACAGACAACTGGAAACATCCCTCTGTGTTGTTTCTGACTCTGACCGGAGGAAAATCATTTCGCTAGTACTTCTAGCTGTTCAAGTGAGCTTCTCACTTGCAGTGCGCATCAGCAGAGCTGCTCTACGGCACAATACTTAAGCTATCAGAAGAATTCATTTCGTCCCCCTTTGCCATAATGCGTGCCACACGATAGAATTCGCAGCTTCTCTTTCTCAACGCATGCGTTCGTGAGAAGAACAGAGATATGCGGATGCACAGTGGACTCTCTACCTACATACACGTTTTCATTCGCACAGACGCAATGAGTCGTCCAAAGCCTCATTACACTGGCCCTTCCAGTATTCTCTAGCGAGCTCCGAGGCACTTAAACTTAGACCGGGAGGTTCACAGAACAACGGTATCCATCGATCGTCTCAAGGTTGCATTTTTCGAAGATACACCTAAAGCTTCATCTAATACAGTCCCACGGGTAAACCCACTGGCAGTTTCATCTTCTGCACCAGACACCACAGATTGCTCTAATGTCTTTGACCCTCCGTCAATCCAGCCAACTGACCGACGCGGTAAACAGGTCAAACGCCCAGCCTGTATTTCAGATTTTGTTAAGGTTTGTTATTTGCCTCAACATGCGAGTGTTTCACTCGTTAAGTTAATCGCGTTTCATCCACAAATATTTTGCAAAACGACAAAATCACCAAATCTGTTGAAAAACCAATGTATTCCTCTTTGACTCGTATACTTGTCATGTTTCCCATATAGCGTCACACCGCTTGTCCCGACCACGTCCTCCCCTTCCCGACTTGTACATCAAAAGTCACCTGAAAAACCATGGCATCTTCTAGCCTAAGTACCCGAAGTCTCAGGCGCCATCCCCTAGGCTTCAAGGGACTGCTATTCCCCACTATGCAGTGCTGACAACGGCTAGTCTGGCTCACGACCGCTTGAAAACGATTTCCAACGAATATACTAGGAACTGTCCGTGGGACGTAGACTGGGGTACGATGGGGGAGAGGGACATCTCCCAAGCACACCGTTGGGTCTGCAACGGCGGAAACGTCCTGTCGGTCTATGTTTCTCGACTAGTTATTTTATGGAATAAAACATGGCCGCTCCGACGGTGCACTCCGGTCCACATCTAAATAAAAAGTCTGCACCAAGCGAATTTCACGCGCCCACTACAGTTGCCACCCTACTCCCCCATCCTCACTTTGTTTCCCTACCTGACATCTCCATCGAAGGCTTTCCTTGGTCTTCTAGGGGAAGCCCACTGTAAGGTAACTTGCGACATCGATTTTATTCTTGTTTATATCTTCCGATGGTCAACTTGTTTTACTGATGGTAAATCCGGTTCGCTTGCTCGCTCTGCTAGACTGCTGTCTGAGTAGCGTCCCAAAAACTATGGTGTTCGTGCATTCCGCAGATGGCTCAGAAAAAGTTGCACATGCAGCCAAATCGCTGTCTCCCGCAGACCGAAATTACGGCCAGAAAGAGAAGGAGGCCTTGGCGATAGTCTTCGCGGTAAAGAAAAGTCACGAAGTGACATATGTAAGGTAGCTTACACTTCTTACTGACCGTAAGCCGCTGTTAGAAATTTTCAGATCAAAATCGGGATTCCCTGTCTGTACGATAAACAGGTTGTAACGGTGGGCTACTAGGTTACTCGGTTACGGTTCTAAGGTGAAGCGTATTACCACAAAACACACTGGTAAAGCTGATGCACTTTCCCGGTTATTGTGACGAGAAAGAAGAAACCATTCTTTCAGCAATCTGCATGGAGCCGAAAGTGAATCAGGTATTGTTAGAAACGCTCAGAGGGCTTCCAGTAACTTTTGAGAGGGTGCGTGATGCATTGGTGCGAGATCCCATTCTGTGACAGGCAATCAGTTTCCATACTACATAGTGGCCGAAGAACCACCTAGCTGGAGAGTTTGTCAAGAATAAGATGAACCGTCAATGGATGTTTAGTTCTGGCGGGTAGAGTTGTTATTCATAAAGCTTCCCCAAAGAATACTGAACTAGTTCATCTTGGGCACCTCGGCATTAACAGAATGAAAATGCGCGGAGTCACATTAAATGGCCACAATTTACTCGAAGTTGGAACAGCTGGCAAAATCGTGCTCGAAATGTGCGCTTGTCAGTAAGGCGCCCAGAAAAGTGGAAGTGTGTTCTGGTCCCTGGCAACAAAACCGTGGGAGCGAGTATACAAGGATTTATTTGGTCCTGTGAATGGGCAACAGTATTCGATGTTATTGATTCTTTCAGCAAGTGGTCAGAAGTCTTCTGCATAGAGCGTACAAGCGGCACAACAATTTGCGTACTGAGAACACTTTTCGCCTGGCATGGAATACCAGAGACCCTAGTCACTGATGGCGGCTCTCAATTCGCTGAATACTGTACGCAGAACGGTACCACACACGTACACTCATGGCCGTTCCACTCTCAATCCAATGGGGCAGTGGAGCGCTTTGTTGGTACGTTTGAACGGAGGCTGCTGAAGATGAGGGGATAAGAAACCACAGAAGAAATATCGGATGTTTCATGCTACTGTACAAATCAACTCCAATCCGCAGGTACCAAATCAGGTGTCACCAGCAGAAGCGCTTATGCGTAGAAATGCCCGTAGTCTGAATTCCTTGTTGATTCCGAAGCGTATCGCCCCGCAAGAGAGAAACGCGACTGGGAAAGTACTACCACGACGTACAAAGCAAGTACGTCTATTTCACACAGGACAGTGTTCTGGTCAGAGACAATGGTACTGAAAGATCACAGTAGACGCCAGGCTGGATCAAATGTAGACTTGGACAGCTGCCAGTATAGTTCGAGTGCGCGTGATGAGTTGGACTAGACACGAAAACGAGCATTCAAATAAGTACCAGTGAACGATCGCTATTAACGGATATTCTCCTGGAACTCAGGAGGTCCCAAATGAGCCTTGGTCAGTGGCCACAAAATGAAGGAACATGCAGTCACGAGGATGGACTGATCGGATACGGGGATCCGTAGCCAGAACGCAGCATGATCCTAGAAGAAACTCGTACGTCACGGAGAGTGTTAAGGGGGCCAAGGAGCCGGTCCTCTTGCTAGCAGTCGGGATAAAATTGGCGCGACTCAGCTGAGGTCAGTGAGAGCAAATTACCTTGAAGTCCACAAATGGGAATGATCTACCGTTTCTTCAGTGAGCACACTAGTTGAGCAGCCGACAAACGCAGTTTCACGCATTTAGTAGTTGTTAGAATCCAGGAACTTACAGCTGTCATTCTCTCGTGAACTATCATTTTGATCCCACCTTTTGGCTCCATAGTAGTTTCGCTAGGGGCCTTTGTCTCGCGATTTGAGAAGTAACTGGACCATAAACCGAATAGCTGTATCGTTATCCGTACTGTCAGGGGAAACATAACACAATCAAAATGTTCTCCGCACCACGTGCCCTGGATTTAAGATTTGTAATTGTAGGTGTACACCCATTAGTTACATCATTTTTAAAAGAATTATACTTTCCATGTGTGCTCACCGAAATTTAGCTGCTGATGCCCTGAATTAAGGAGAGTCCGCTGTTTATTTCATCGTTAGCAAGCCCTTCGAAATGTGCCTTAACTTTCATCAGGGATTCTAAAGGATGCCCCCCACACAATGTTCAAGGCAACACAGTATCTGTTGCTTCCACACGGTTGAAATCAAAAGTTTTAGTTACTCATAATTCGCCGTATTTGAACCCCAGCTGTCATTTTTCAGGCGATCCAAAAGCAATGGCATAAAAGTTGCGTGACCATTTACTTCCATGAAGGTGCACTCCTGTTCGTTTTATACGTATCTCTATATCTTATTACCAATGGTAATGCGTGTTATATACATAGTGTTGGTGCAAATTTCCGCAAATGCCCCCGCATAGGTTGTGTAATTTGACTTTTCTTTGTTCGTTTAAGGCAGTAACAGTGATCATTATTATGTCTCCTACGTGATCCGTTCAGTAATCCATGTCGTGGTCACAGTGATGCCTTTAAACAGCAACTGTATAGGTGACTGCTTTCACGTGCAACATGGTTGCTGACCGAGGAACGAATATCATTCACATGAGGCATTTGTTTTAAGCATGTCCAAGGAATTCTGTATCCTCCGCAATACAAGTACCTTCGCGTGTGTCTAATGAATGCACTTAAGTTGGTTCACAATAAGCTTTACACCGAGTACACATTTAACTCATCGCGTCTTCGACCCTACCCGAACCCCTTCGGTAAATGACATGTACTAGCATTCAGCAATTGAACATTTGACATAGAGGATAAAAAAAGAAGCATACGTATGGAGAAGATCATTGAAAGCGTGCAGTAAATCAGCAAGGCTTTATATGCATAAATTAAAAATGCTAACTGGATAAATTTGGTGGTGCGGGCGAATTAATTCGTGTCACGTTCCCTTTGGCCTCATCAGGCATCATGCGGAGGTCGTTCTTTTCCCATGGATATCTCTTAGTTTGAATTTCCGTGACCTTCTCACTCACCAAAAGGTCTATAATCGTTTGTAACACTCGGCCCTCGACTGAAGACTGATCCCAGTCGGTGACTCCCGGATTTCGGAACTTTGATTTTAGAATCGAATCCAAACATGTACGCAAGTCCTGCGGGAACGAATGATAAGTAGCATGGCTTGCAATCATAAGTAAGAAAAAGTTAAGCGAATTAATTCTCAGATTCTCGATAGGAATGAAGAATAAGTCGGGGATACAATAAAACAGGTCAATCAGTTCGGAGCTGATTTGAGATGCATAGAGCAGAATAGAAATGACCTAGTCAGTATACGTTCAATGTGTTCAAAATTTCGTGATTCCGCTATTTTCGAATGCGGATAAACTGCACTCATGAAGCGTATAGGTACAAAAGGTCACATAACTGGTAACGTAGGAACAAGCAAAGGTCTCAGCATACTGGAGCCTGGTGTCGATGTTATTTCGCTTGGACAGCCAGCTCATCAACTGATCCAAAGAATCGGTTGTCGGTTTTGATGAAACGAGAGCGGAAGGTCGATGCAAAGGGCTCGCTACACAAACGGAGGGGTAGTGGGTTGGCTGCTAACAACCGGCGTAAACCCAAGCAGTTGGCCGGGAATTCAAGAGCAAGGCCGGCATATGCTCATCTAGATGTCACCGCAGGCGAAGCAGAGGATTGGTATTGCGTCTGTCATTGCTGAGCAAGGAGGCCAAGCAGTAATCCTCGTATCTGTCTCGGTGTCATGCTACATAAGAGTTCAAGAGGAAAAAACAACCAACGGACTACATGCGTAGGAATGAAATGCAATTTCAGTCCCACATTGGTCCCTTGGGTATTTTTCGCCGTATCTACTTCGAAAACTTTTGGTGCACCTGCATGAGTTAGGTTCAGTTTACCTAGCTATGATTGAAACGGATCCATCTGACTTAACTCGCGTCATCATAACAATAGTTTTGACAAGCAATGGTAGCAAAAATGGACAAATTTAGGCAGTTGCCAAACGAAGTGATGCAGATTCCCAGACCTCCATAGTCCTTCGACGTCTCACCGATGCCGAGGTGCTTCAGCAAACAGGTATAAGCAGGCCGATCACAGACTCGCCTTGTGAAAGCTGATGAGCTGACGGCACACTCACCACAAGCTACCATAAATCTAATGTTCCGAGGAGGCTTTAAGCTGTGCTCAAATGTTAGAGCTTTCAACGCGCAAGCTTCTAGGAACAGCGAAAGCTGTGCACCAGAAAACCCGCGATTCCCGACGAAACTCCCACATTCTAAAACCGCATGTGATTGAAGGACATAGTACTCCCAAGTGTACTCTTTGTATCAGAGGTAAAATAAATTCATGTGACCGATTGATTAGTTCACCACTTTTGACACTCGCGAAGGTGTCTCGCTTGATCCAAAGCAGCAAGAGCATGTGCTTTCCATTGATGGATTCGTGGTATTCGTGGTGCGAAAGTCGTCTGGCGTTTTCATAGTATTGCAGATGACAGCTGACTATCTGAGGCGCGGCCTGAATAGGTAACAACTCACAGCTCTGTTTCTGAAGTTAAGCCATCGGTTTGGAAAATCTAGTTGTTACTGTGAATGAGGAGGATTATGGTCTCCATCTATGTACACGATATATCTCATGATGCTGCTATTCCATTAACTGACGATATCACGGATATGTCTGTTCACAAACAAGTACAGATATCCAGGAAACCATACGCTTCTTTTAGGATGACCAGTCAGCACATAAATGTCAGTGCTACCCATGAGAGATGTCTTGCCATGGATAAGTGCATAGCTTGGCGTACAAATACCAAGTATCGCCAAACAGCACATTACTGCATATCACAAAAATTGCGAAATGCACGGCTGTATCCGACTTGGGTATACGGTATTCGGACATCCTTAGCCTCTGCGAAAAATACAACTTTTAGGTTTCGAATGCCATCGAATTTATATGGTCATTTTTATTTCACCGAATCTCTAACATGGCTCTAAAAACGTGTTTTACCGAGTGTTCGATATTGTCCAATGGTCCAATAGAGTCTGCGAAAGGGACCGGAATTCATTAGGTAGAATGCAGTGACGCCTCACGAAAGAGCTATGCGGTTACACCTGGAAAATGACATACAGAGAGCGTTGCGTTGAGCTCGGAATTGACCTAATATGACCTTGCAGAATAAAGCCGAAGATGTCCATTCTCAGAAATGAACCGTCATGCGAGCAATGCAGATAAGAACAGTCATAGGTCTTGGAACACAATGCGAAAATTCAGAAGCACATCATGAAAATCAGATGTTTCATTCTAATCTGCTACTCGATCGGGAAAGAAATTCTAAGGGGCGTAAGAATACGCTGCACAACGTAAAGTTCAAGCTTGCAATTGATGGGCATTTGACCTCTTATTTGGGAGGTCGAAATTCCTGGTAAAGACAGACAACAATTGATAAAAATCACAGGTAAATCACACTTTGGTTTGTAGTTCGTCTCGTTTCATTTATTTTCGAGAAGTGTCTGCTAGGTTGGTGAAGAACACTAGTGTATCTACAATTTGAAAAACTAGCATAGAATATTGACTACTTTGTATTGCACACACGAACATGAAATTCTTACTCATATTCCCCTAAGTGATAGTATGAAGTCAGTGAAATAGACTTTATGTTGTACCTCCTCCTGGGAAACAGCTTGCATTGCCGAGGAATACACGTCTTTTGGGCCATAGCTTCTACGCGGTGGTCTATTTTTGCAAATGTAACTGATCAGTGCATCGACATCCAGCCAACACTAAGCCTCTTGGTTCGCCAAGAGGGAAGCCTGTCCGAATTAGACCACCGTGTGAGCGCCGCTGGTCCGCTAAAATGGCTTACGGTACAGAGACGTTAGTGTACTGGAAGGAATGTCTTTTCATCCGGCAACCGTTCACCTCTTAAAAGTATGAGGTCTATCAGGGGTACTTCGACTTGGCAGGGGAATATACCACTAACACTGAATAAAGACTCGTGAGTTCAAAGAGGTTTGCTAACAGTGGACTGGCGTATGTGTTAGGCAACGTTTCGCGATTATTGTCCCTTTTTCTATAAAATGACGCTCCTATTGTATACTGATTCGCCTAGGCTGATGAATCTTCTGTGCCAAGAGCTAAAAGTTAGCCAACAAATAAGCGAACTGATTATTCCCAAACCTTTTCGAACTCATGAATCCTCCATCGGTGACCAGCATAGTCTACTATTTCGGGTCATAGACACCTAGTTCTTCCTAGCGAGACGATAGTTTTCTGGACGAGTTTCGTACTATAGGCCTCATGTCAACCGTCCCAAAACTAGTAGCGCGCATGCCGTTCAGGAGCCCGTGAATCATACTTCCGACAAAGGTAAACTAGTCCTCCCGGTGGCTGGTGTTGTGTAGACCAGGACTTCAAACTCCAACAACTCATAAAGCACCGTAACTTTCACTACAGGCCCGCCTATGTTGCTTTTCTAGACCACTGGATTGCATTTTGCACCGTCAGTCATTACTTCATGGCGCTTCCTGCTATAGAACAAATTCGCATAAGAAGTTTAACACCTTCCTAGGAGTGCAAATTTTAGATAGGGTGATAGCTTACGATACGTCCGATTTACTCTTCAATGTCATTTGCTGTGCATGACGTAGCTTCCATGAGCCCACATTCATCCTAGACATTTGAGTTACAACTTGAGAACTCTGGAGGGATCCTAAAGTATTGACTAAGAGTTCGCTTTAAGTACTTCGCGATCGAATTAGATTATTGTGATTTTAGCACCTTGTGTCGTGACAGTGACGTATAACGTCATCAACATGAAACACACGAGAGATCCTCCTCAAATAACCGTTGTCCAGACTGAAAGACGTAACACGTCCTTCATCCATAGGGTTATCCGGGTTGACAAAGTGCATCAGTGGAGAAAGAACCTACAGCAGCCAAGGTGCTGGTTTATGCTAAGACGCGTTCATCATCGAAAGAATCGACCTGAGCGGCACTCCATTCTTTTATGTTAGTGGTAACCCATACGGCCGCGAAGTAATGGAGCTTCTCCGTTTTAAACTAATATACGTAGCACTATCCGTCACAAGGTGGCGAAGCATATTAAGGTAACGGATAACGCGAGCCACAGTCAAATTTCTATCTTGAGTCATTCAGAATTGAACCCCTCATTGAGTATGACGCCCAGTTTCTGCGCGTAATCAAGCTTGTTCATGATTATCAATCTAGCATTATTACTGAATAGTGTAGTATAGAGCAAGCAGAAATGAATTCAGCACAACTCTTTCGAAACATGGGGGAAGACGTTATAAAAGTTGTCAACCGGGAATATCATTATCATGTAACATTTAAAATATCGCACTCACAGTATTGCAGGACTCACAAATGTGATATGTCATGGTAAGTGTACTATCGTCCTCTGAATAGAATAATGGTAAATCTAAGAACGTTTTGAACTGCTGCACAAAGGTTGCCTCCATCACATGTTCAGGCAAAATGTTCCAAATATTTACTACTCTCCGTTCGAAGCACAGTGGGTGGGGAATACATTTCACATCCGGTACGACAAGTTTGTATCTGTGTCCGCGTATGCTGCATGGCCATCGTAAGTGCAGGATTGGCCTCAGCATTGGGAAGTCACCGAGATTTAGAATACGGTAGGTCATAATGAAGTCGACTCGCACCCGACGGTAGGACAAGGTGTAGAGTCCTAGTTTCTCGCACCGGTCTTCATACCCCAAGCCACGTAAACTCGGGATGAGTCTGGTAGCAACGTGTTGGACCCGTTCGATCTTTTGTGCCTCGCCTCGGGTAATCGGAAAGTATGGGAGCGAACCGTACCCCAGCATTGATCTAATGATGGAAGAGAAAAGGCGAATGCCCACCTCTTCAAACCATGTGCCGAAGCTACGTTTGAGTGCCCAAAGCATGCGCAGTCCGTTACGATATAGCCTGTTCGTGTTGTCCACGGACTTCAAATCGTAGCGTGAGAGTACACCTAGGTCCTTCACGGAGGGTGTGGGATATAGCGGTTGGCCGTCAAGGGTGTAGGTTCGGACGCCAGCACCGTTCCCCAGGCTCCTAAATACAGACTTGGCTGGGTTGATCTGGATATGAACTTCTACAGACCATGTGGATAGGCGGTTGAGGTCTTGCTGAAGTAGGCTACAGTCCTCAGGAGCGTCAATTTCTCACCAAATTTTCATGTCGTCCGCAAACAAGGCACACGGCGACCGGAGAACCTGCGGTAGACTGTTGATGTGGATCAGGAACAGAGTGGGCCCCAGCACAGTGCCTTGAGGCATGCCACTTGTAGAGGGGTACCAGTCAGTTAGATGGTCGTCGATCTGTACCCTCCACTTTCGTCCAACAAGAAAGTCGCGGATCCACCGGTGCAGTGAGCCACCGACACCACACATTCTGAGTCTGTGAAGGAGAACCTCATGGCTGACCTTGTCGAACGCTTTACTGAAATCGATGAATATCACGTCGACGGACTTCTCCTTGCTTATTGCCTTCAATCACTCATGCCTCGTCACAAGCAGGTTCCTAATGCATGAGCGACCTTGCATAAAACCTTGCTGTGCGAACGTCAGGACCTCGTTTGACTGTAGCAACTGCAGCAATCCCCTCTTCACGATTTTCTCAGCAACCTTTGCCAAAATAGGTGTCCGACAAATTGGCCTGTAGTTGTCTACTTTGCTAGGGTCGCCGCCTTTCGGAATAGGCTTCACCACCGCACATTTCCAGTCAACCGGCAATGAACCTTCGGACAACGACTTGTTGAGAAGTCAGTCACGACAGCAGAGATGATGGTCGAAAGTGACTTAAGAATCAGTGGATGAAGCCCATCACGTCCGGCAGGTTTGGTGCCGTCAAGCTTGGCGAGTGGTTGACACATCTCTTCAACGCCGCAATGCAGAGTATCGAGCTCGGTAAACGTTAAACTTGGAACAAACACCTGGTTATTCGCAAATACAGAAGCGAAATGCGCCACTAACACGGACGCACGCTTAGTGCTGGAGGTTAAGGGGCTGTCCATCCGGGCCATCCAGCACTGGCACATCACCTGCCGGCTTCAGGCGTCGCTTCAAGTAAGCAAAGATTCTCTTTGGGGCGGTCTTCACGGCGATTGCGAGCTGCTCTTCGAAATGTCGGCGTTTATTCATTTTTGCACTGTTACAGAGGTTCCGCTGGCATTTATTACCCTTCGTAGTCATCGGTAGAGCCAGAGAGGAGGAATTTGTCCCACAGTCTGTGTCGCCTCCGACCCAGATTTCCATACTCCTTATCAAACCAATGAGGCTTAATCGGTCCAACCTTTCGACATTACAATGGCATAAATTGGGAACACAATGATGTCAATCTCACTTTTATAAATACCCAACAATCTTCCACAGATGCAGCTTATGAGAGAGACCAATCCAGTTGGCTCGCGGTTCGAGTTAGACCATCAAAGTCAGTTTTCCAGTAGTTGCAAGCTGGTCCCAGCGGACGTGAATACGGCAAAGATAATCATATCAGCTATGAGCACTGAATGGTCGTTTGTAGCCAGTGGCTTCAGGATCCTAACGTCACGCACTCGTTGTTCGTAGGTCGTTAACATCAGGTCGAGACAGGACGGGGTTGAGCGTGTTGTTATGCATGTTGGCTGGCATATGTGTTGCGATGCACCAGTTTCAAGTACTAAATCCACGAACTTTGCTTCAACCTCACTATGTCCAGGCATCAAATGTACATCAGACCATCATATTCGAGGACAGTTAAAATCGCCCGTAAGTAGAAAGTGTGGACGACTCATGTGGGTTCGAAGATGGGGCGGCCAATCCAAAAACGACTCACAGGACTGCGATAAACTGCTCCCACAAGCAGTTCTCCGCGCCTGAGGCGGATGGAGCACCACACTAGCTCACACAAACCATCGTCACTTCGGTAGGTGCTCACAAGTCTCCCACGCAGGGAAGACCGGATGTACAGCAAGACACCACCGTGGGCATTCGTTAGTCTATCGCATCGGAAGCACGAGTAACTATTGAGTTCAAGTTCCTAGGTGTATAACTGAATGCAGCCATGTCTCTGCGAGTCCCACTACGTCTGGCCGCTCAGACGCAGCGAAACAACAAAGCTCATCGCGCTTGTTCATAACACTGTAAACGTTTGTGAAGGCTACTCGCAGGCCGCAGTAGGAGCCGCCGGGAGTGCTTGAAGTGTGAGAAGCCAATTTATCCTGATTCGCAGATTCTTTGAAGCCACCCGAAAATTTACGATACGTAGATTTGTTTTTCCCTCACCAGTGCGTCGTTTCAGCTCAATGATAGCAGACTTGAGCCGTTCCCCGTCTACTGGGTCCAGGTATGGACGAAGACGGATCTTCAAACCTTTCAGCCTACTGAGGCAGGACATGATCAGCCTTGGACTGGCTTCGTCCACAAAAGTGATTCTCAAAGGCCGATTTTGTTGATCACCTTGCTTTCCAAGACGGGTACTTTGCCTCACTATTACAGAATCCTCACCAGCATCGGGGAATCTGTCAATTAGACTGTAAATACTCGACATGGTGATCGTAGCGCACTTGGGGTGATGGATCACTGGACTCCAGCGCGTGGAAGATCACGAGGTTACAACGCACCTGGTCGGTAGAGATTGGCCTTGTAGGGCAAAGCATATTGCCAGCCTTACGTGCTTCGGCTAACTGTTGACTTATAGAAGGTAAAGGCCTAACATCCCTTCGTAATTTCGTTCTTTGTTCTTACCACTGATCTGCAGTACTCAGACTTTCATCTGCTGGGACTTCAGTGCTTGTTGGACACCACAAAGGTAAAAACTTTATGCCAGGTGAAACTGGGCTACTCAAAACGGTTGGACTTCTTGCCGGTGAGTTTGCGTGGGTAGAGGTGGAAGACTGAGCTGAAATCTGAAGGCTGTTCGGGCTAGGTTGTTGGGTCAAACACACGGAGCTGTTCGCAAAGAAATGATGTAGTCTACACGTCGGCTTTACTCTTCCTGGCTGTAGCTTGTTTCGGTAACTCTCACATAAAATTTGAAGGAAATCGTGTTGGATTTCATGAAGACGATGAAAATGCTCAACTGATGAATCAACCCATGAAATGTGGTAGGTAACTTGGTAAGAAACAGACGTGAGGGCGTTTGCACGGTATCCGACTATCTTGGGACAAGTACCACAGGGTGACTGCTTCGGCATTGTGAATGATCCGAAAACAAGATAGCGGCCATTTGCTGGAGAAAATAATGATAGCAAACGGCCGAAAACAATAGATGAAAACACAAGTATTTCTGCTCGGAAAATTCAGAATCACATATGAAACCGAATTGTCCATAAATTTCCAAGAAATACTTCCAGTGAACGAAGAAATCCAACAAAAATTGATTTTGTCAACACAGCCAATAACCGACCGGAGGGCGCTATCCGCAGTCGACGGTCAATTAATTAACCATGGCGTCCTCAGCATGTAGCGTTTGAAGATGTCGGTTAGTAAATGCGCATTTTTATTTGAAAGATGAATTTCCCTATAATTACAAATAACAATATCAGAAGACGATGATTGTGGGATGACAATGCCATTTCGTGCATACTCCGCAAACACTATACAAGCAAGTAAAAGGAATGTAAAAAACAAGCTGTGTCCAAAAACGGCTGACAGTGACATTAATCCTACCGTACTAGCGTGTGACGCACCAATCGGAAAACGCGTGATCTATAACTGACTTCATGTGACCTTGTCTTTTGTATTCCTTTTAGTTGCTTGTATACTGGTTGAGGAGTATGCATGACATGACAATGTCATCCAACAATCTTCGTCTTCTGATATTCCCATTGTTTTGTTTAATGGCGCTCATCTGACCTCGTGGAAGATTTCGGTCAACTTGTTCGTAAACCAGATATGCTTACCAGAGGTTAAATCACCACGAACTAATCATAAAAGTTGGAAAATTAGGCTTCAATGAGCCATCTGCTAGCTTTCTAGGTCCAAATGACAGGGCTTCCAGTTGCAAGGTGTCAAGATGTGATTCACTACGTATTTACTATTACAAGCAAACAGCTCTTGCTTTTCGTGCCGTCACGCGTGGTCTAGCAATAGTTAGCGAAAAAATCCAACTCACTTCGATAGTCCGGATAAGTTCGGTTGGCGCCTGGATATCAATCCAACCGTCCACTTCGAAAAAATTGGAGTTGGGCTGAAAGAACAACGAGGGACCTAAATTTAGGCCAAATAAAGCATACAAGTGAAATGATAATGTAGGGTGTATAGGTTACAACATGCATGCATTTTGACATTACATTTTCACATCCCGTGAAGAAAAGGCTTTTTAAGTTTTCAAGGAATACACGGTAGTAGCTATTGGAGCGGCTGTTTTATGACTGACAAAACACACGAAGTGGTTACAGCGTTTCTTTTTTCTGAAATGCATAAGCTGTCCGGCTCATAAGGAATAACATTACAGTTCATCGATACACTTTTACAGACGCGGAAATAACACAAATTTCTCCTCACATCGGTAAAGCTAGGGTTTGAAAACATCCGTTCAAGTTGGATCTGTGTGAGCCACCCGAGGTTGACGTAAAGGATAAGACAAAAGGATTAACCAATCTCCAAGTAACAACCCACATGCATGTAACAACACGAATAGGTATTAGCTGCGAACCTGAACAAAAACGCCGCATACCACTGGCTACCGTACACTACTCGAAATGGCAGAAGGCCCCCAATCGAAGTAAGCGGTATGACCTGGCAGCGGTTTGGTTGTAGTTGATATAGTGATTATTTCTTGGTGTAAAAGTCAGCTTGAATGCATAATACCTTTGGTCTTATCATTCCGGCGAAGAACAATATTGGACGAAGCGGGATGATTGTCGTATCGAGAGCCAGGGGACACTGCAAGGGAAAACCGAAGTCGAGGATTGAGCAGGAAATGATGGGACAAAGGAAAAAGGACTAAGTATCCTACGAAAACGTTGAGGGCTCTATGGACGACTTAGTTCTTCGGTGCGATTCTCCATAGCTGGGTATTTAGTTGTGCTTACGAACATTTTAAAAAGAAAGCTAGGCTAAATACTGCATGGAAGCAAAAACGGTGAAAACCGCGAAGTTGCATCTAAACTCCTTCAGGTACAATGAGTTATAATATTGACAAGTACACACGATATATAATTTCGTCAGTGTTTGTGTCGGAATTTATTAGATTCCGACACAAGTTTGCTTCGACTTCCTGCGGCGAAAAGTTGTTCCATATATTCACTACTCTCCGTTCGAGGTAGGGTTGGTGAGAGACCCAGTTCAAACCCAGTACAGATAATCTAATTCTTTCCAGGGGAGTAAGTAAGGGTCTGACTCATATCAGATGTTAGTACAATTGCTGGACATTCAGGATATACGAATCAAAAGGGAGAAATCCAGCTCACGAACCTAGTTTGTATTCGAGACAAGCAAAAAGCGTTATAATATGACATCAAGTATCGGTTTTCTAAAAGCAGCTGTGCATGGAGAGGTAGGGAGAGCCAACCTCTAGTCTGGCAAATCAAGTCAATTCGCCACCAATGATGTGTTCAGCAATTCAACAGGGTATGATGGAGGAAAAAGCAACGGTTTTACAAGACGCACAACATGGAAAAGGCATAAGAAAGGTTACGGCGTGAAGCGTAGTCTATCACACTAACCCAAATCTGGCCTCTTGTCATACTGTCATGTAGTATTTATCACATAAGTGGGTGGAAAAGACTAGATCTGATGGGGACGAGAAGTAGACACTGCCATTTCGGGGCCACCACCAAATAACAGAAACGTTTCTGTGTATATACTCAGGGCTAAATATAACTCGTTTTACAGACACAGCCCGGACGAAGTAAGTAGGACTATGTGTTGCGCTCCCCATCCCTTGATAAAGGTTTACCGTATATCACCGAATAAAAGCCGATAATTTTTGAACAAGCTTTCATTTCTATAGAGAGGGTGGGCTCATAAAAAGGTTACATGCCATTTGCAAAATCACATGCAAAACCCACTAAGAAATTCACTGCATACCTCAGCACTTATCTCCCCTTAGCACCACCCGCTTGTTGACGTACGGGCTTTTGGATGATGTGACGTCGCGTTAGAACTAACTTGGGTAGCGAATCAAAACCGTTTATACATCACGGTTACCACAAATGACCAATAGTAGAGCAGGTCTCATTTAAACATACTCAAGTGGGAGCAGGTAGTGATGACGTCAAAATCCTGGAGAAACAATTTCGATTCTCTTTATGCTGATTTTTTGGGAGTCGGCTGATATACGGACTTACGACTTCGGAGAAATTTGATAGTACGGTTATACTGTCTGCCTATCGGTGAACGAGCTTATAGTCGGTAATATACGGTACATTCATTTAGTCCTGAATTAACGTTAGCTGTGTATTTCTTGTGATGATTGATGAAGCCCACTAAGTGTGAGGAACATTTAGAAGGGCGACAGTGACAATCTAGAACACTCACTGACATGTTGTCCAGCTGAGTTTTATTGTAGTATACCATCCACACCGGGTCCACGGGGCAGACGTTCCCGTTGACTGACCGGGAGCATACGCTGATTTTACCTTCTGACGGACGCGCCAATACACGCGGCTGAGTGACCTTTTCGCCTCTAGAAGCAAAACATTGATGTAGAAAAATGGAAAACAAGAAGAAAACGAAGTTCAACGGGAAACCATGCGGATTACCTGGATTCATGTTCAGAAAAATGATTTCATACGGGTTAAGAAACGCACTTTACAAACCGGGTTAGGTGAGTTACTGATAACGTCATAAAAGAAAACAGTTACTACTTTTATAAGCAAAAACAGGGCTCATCTGTTTACGGGTTTGTGATGCAGTAGCTTTACTCCTTTCGTTGCTTTACAGACTGCTTAGGTGATGGATAGTAAAGCCGAGGTTTTTATTTTCAAGGAGTGGAAAGAAGTGATAATGCTAGACGACGAAATGTTTGAGTGAGTGCGTCATCTAACTGCCGCTTAACTATCGCCGGTATCGGTGTGGAAACGGCCGATTTGGGAAGTGTGTACCATGAGTGACACAAGCAATGAAAATAGGTTTTGTGACACTAAAGGGCACTATACTATACTAATGGTTTCGGGGAGAGATTTCGTCTTACTACTGAGCTCCAGTAGAGAATGACACCCGTGATTTGGATTGAGCGGGGTTATGTGAGCCATTACCGGATGGCTGCGTAAGCGAAGTAGTCCGCTGTACACTACTAAGCGTTTCAGCTTTTGTTCGTACGGAAGATTACGCAGTGCGATTCGCATTTTGCTGCTTTCATTGTTTCCGGATGAATGGTATACTATGTAAAGCATCAGCAATATGCCGGCACAATGTACCGAGGTTTCGCTGTCACGTGGCCACCAAAATCGCGTGAGGGCTGGGTATACAGCGAGATTGCTCGTCTCAAAAAGGATTCTAAACGATGAGGTGGTCACAAGCAAGCGTGCAATTCCTTCAGCTACCGACCGACTTCATTTCAAGGAAGCTGTGGCTGAGCAGAAATGCTATGTTTCTCAATAAGTTTCAGCGATAAAAATAGGTAGCTGTGTCCTGGTGGCGGGGCAAAGAAAGCTGGAAGATTGCCTGATGGCAACACCCGCAGAAATGTGGGGGCATATTGAGTGCCTAGTGCGTTTACTGTGCCTGAAGCCAATCTTCTTTGGTCATCAGTTGTATGGAGGAAATCGCTGCCTCAACTTGCAAAGGCCATTGGCGTGAGTATACAGTAGCTTATGATTAGCACCAGAGTGGGGCGAATGAAGTTACTTTGGTTCAGGCTAACAAAAATGATGGTTCAAGAGGCAAAGATAAGGGTAGTTAAAATCCATAAAGGGTACGGTTCCAGGAGAACTGTATCCGATAAGTCATTTTATGACCGGTGCTGCCCGTCCCGAGGTGAAAATATACACAAGCTACATGTGCCATCCCGAATCGACCCATGATTGATCTACACATGCATGTGGTCTACATGCCATCACGCGGAAGAACCGTTAGTTGCAGAATCGTTGGAGAATATAAACAACCGAAGTACATAACTCAAGTGGATCAGGTGAGTGTAGTGCAACACGCACTTCAACGCCAAATAGCTACCTTTGGTGACAGCCTCAGGCACCGATGGACAGACGCGGCCTGCCGCATAACGACCGACAACTAAAGGCCAAAGTTTTGCTGTCCCCACGGGTGACTGAGCTTCCAAAAAGCCAAAATGTGCTTGCGATAACTTCTACGGCGATGTGACAACTATGGTTAGTATAGGCAATGAGATAAATAAACCGATCGATGATGATGGATGGTCGTCATTGAGTTAGAAATACCGGTGACGACTCCCAGCCATAGTTGCGTTGCATTTCAAGAGGCAACATCACGCTGGACGGTATAGCGCTCTGCTTCAGATTGTGTGGAAGCGCATTGTTATCCGCAGATGCGTTTATGACGCGTTTTTTGGTTAGAATAAGTTATCGCGTAGTGAGTTTCAGGACGTCCATAATATACTGAAGCTGCATCTCTCCGGTGAATGAAACTTTGATTCTGAATACGAGCCGGTTGACTCCCATCGTCCTTGGCAACAGACAGTAATAAGGTAGTTGTGCTTTGTCGGACAAGCTTCCGGCACTCTGAAGACGTGCGTCCATAATGGCATATGTCCAGTGATCCTAATCTCAAAATATATTGGTGGAGAATGCTAAGGGAAACAGGGAGCTCCTGTTGGCTTTACTCCTAGGCTGTGCACAATTATCGAACTTTAGGGGATATATTCGTCCTCATGAAAGTGGAATCAGTGATAGCCAAACTGTCCTCCACGCTGAGGACAATACACTGATCACAGTTCAACGGGTTGCAAGATGTTTTAATAGCGCACATGCACACATATGTCTTAGCTCATCAACGATTAGACTGACCGCAGTTGCGTGTAATGTTGCTCAACTTTGGAGAAGGTGAAAAATGCCTCAGTATTCTGAAATGTCCTAACCTCGACTACCAATTCCGAGTAGGAATACGAAAAGTTCCATCTTGAGTTCTACATGACCAATGGAAGTAGTCAGGAGATGCAGCAACTCCTTTCACTTCATTATTGTTATCGAAGAGTTCTCAAATGGCTCTGTGACACGCTATCACCGGAGTTTATGTTTTCTCAAACGAGTGATTGATATGCAGAGATTACGTGGACGATGTAAATATGTTTAAAGCAGTTCCGGCTGCTATATAAGAGCTGTCGAGTAAACTGACGCATGCTGGTATATGCTTCAAGCTTTCGAAGCACAGAGTACGGTTTTAGGTCTAGGTTTTGAGGTTTGCTGAAGTTATGGCACTTAACCGGCATCGTCCTATCCTTTGTGTACAGAAACAAGCAACAGTCTCCATAAAGCTTCCTTGGGAATTATGACCCTAAGAGCAAGTTCGTTGACCTGTTATTCTTGTGTCGATGAAATTTTTCTTTGTGACCAAACCTTCGATTCCTCTGTCACGTGATTCATATCTATGTTGTTAGTTTGCGAGTGAGCAGATAACTCGAAATGGTTCCATCTCGCGATACTAGTCTTCTCATTGTCAATGATTTCTACCAGCGCTGATTTAGTATCCAAAGTAGTCGACAGGTTCATTTGTCGCACCTTTTACGGATAAGTGGGTTTTGCAACCATCGGGGAGTCTCCAGTGACTCATCTAAGGTTTAGCTGTTTACTGTATTAGTTTAAATGTTACACTGCGACCGGTGTCACGTTATACATCATGGATGCGACGTTATCACTACGCTTGTCAGCTGTAAGTATAACTGACCTTGTAAGGTAGATCATACCTGGTACAGTCCTGTGATGGGTAATGTATTTGTGTGCCAGCAAGTGTTCGATAATCAGCGCCTATGCATCGCGCCGGACCGTGTTTTCAGATCTAATCCTATCAGGTGACTGCGCACATTGGTTATGCCACGCTGTTGAGATTCAAATATAAGGCACATCTAAGCGTGGAGTCCTTTCATGTGGCTCGGTCTCAGAATAGTCACCTAATAGAGTGTCGAAGTGGGGCATTCGGAAACTGATTTGAAGGGGTTGAGCATGAACGTACATGCTGTTTACCTAGGTGTCGCCCACAGGGTCACCCACATCCATCGTGGGATACCGGCTACGTACATGTTTCACTGGTGAACACAAGAATACATCTGAGATCTATCGGTCAGGTTTTCTTATGCCGACTGTAATATAACGGCGTATGTGAAACCCAGAAAAAGGACTGTCTTTGTTCTTGTTCCCTGTCGTATGCTCATTCTCTTCCTTTTTTGTCATGGTTCTGATGGCACATGATCTGTATAGAGATTTGTATATATATATATATATATATATATATATATATATATATATATATATATATATATATATATATATATCAGCAATTTACTTTGACTTTGTACGAGACACGCCGGTAGAGGCGTGATTTAGGAAATACATATATTTGAAACAGGCCAATAATAATTTTATTAAAACATATCGCAAGTGATAAACCTAATGAATTAAGTGAGTCACACTTGGAGTTCGAATCGTATTTGGTTGGCAGTATTAGCGATGCGGCTACTCAAAAGAAATGAACGCCGATAAAGAAAGAATAGTATGTTTATGGTTCGACGTGGACAATTCTTACTTGGATTTCGGGACCAGCCGGAGGATGTTTGGGAAGAGAGCTCCACACAAAATGGCTCGAAACAGAGGAAAATTATCTAAAAGCAGTGAAGAGAAAAATCGTCAAAGTGATCTATGGTGACAATGAAGAAAACAATTGGCAATCAGCGATCGGAGCAAACAGAGACGGGAATAGGGTTGGAAAATATGCCGACGATAGGTCTATCAGACTAAGCATTCAGACGCTAACTGCCTGATATCCTACCATTAGCTTTTGTAAGCTCGCCGAATCTACGATCCACCGTAGTACCATGAAGTGTGTGCTTTAACCAATTAGTCTAAAGCCGATTGAATGGGTCATTTTATTTATGAAACCAGGGTAGTTTCTTTAGATAAATGCGTTCAAATACTGGGAGAACAAAGCGAGAAAAGCTCGTTGTTTTAGCAGTCAGTGTCAAATGCGATGCTGCTAGCACAAAAATTACTAGCAGGTCGTTAACCAAGCCTTTTGACACGACGTCTTTCCGATCGGTCCCATACAAAATCAAGAACAGGGAATGCGCGGATACGGAGCAAGTAGTAGTTATTTGAGCATGTCCACTTACCTCTGTTGATGTTTGCATTAGCGTCCAAAACATTCGGTGTACCAATATATTTACGTTCGTACAGAAGCATAGCGTGATCATCCATTAGGCGAAGCATATCCTGTGAAAAATGGAGAAAGCGTTTGGCGGATTATGCATCATGTTAAAAGAACGAGGGCTACAAACAAACAGTGGCACGCCAGTACCATAGTGTAGTGAGATAGCAGTGAGATATCCACTGAACACTTGGTATATAGGTAAGCTAATTTCTACGACGGAATTCTAAGTGTCCTAATAGTGCTTTCGGCGGCGTTTCTGCTGCTGTTGCATTTAGTCAATTGGTGCAGGAAGAGCGAGTGAACCGCTCAGCACGATTATATCACGCACCAGGCTCCGATGGCTGGGCCACGTCTTGCGCATGCCAGCACACCGACTCCCACGACGTGCATTGTTTGCGCGTTGTGGGTGCGGTTGGAAGAGGAGGAGGGGAGGCCAAGTGATGACTTGGTCGAGAGAAATGAAAACCCTCACTTCGAAGTTGGCGTCGGTTGGTGCATCCCGACTGCCTGGTTGGGGTCCTAAGGACGGTGAACACGTTTGGTTGGACACACTTGCTGATATGGCTAGGAGCCGGCCCCAATGGCGTTTGTGTTGTGAGTTCCTTTGTCCATCCCCCTCCTGTTTAGCATCCCCCTCCAATCACGATCTCAATCGTTAGGCATAATATGACTTCCTTTTACGGCAGCCAGCTGTTAGCTCTCCGGAACGATGTCCATTCCGTTACTGGGGACTCAGCGGGCGTGCCACTGTTTGTTTGTTTGTTTTTTCTTCTTTTCTTGCCTTTTGTATTTGCGGCACAATAGCTGAGGTGTTTTCCACCTCTAGCTAACGTGTAATGATGATGAGTCAATTCTATTGCATCGATACGGACTACAAGTAAGAACTGCAGTCCAAGGAATTGATGAAGTGCTCAGTAATTGATGGATCTAAAACGGAACACCCGTATCGCACCCTGACCAACCAGTTAATGCCCACCTTTCCTGTCCTAGCAGTCCCTGCTGTGGCAGTCACGTGAAGTAAGCAAAGGATAGGAAGAGAAATCGAAGGTACAGAATAAGGAAGTGCACTTACAATAAGAAAATAATACCAATGCGTGAAGAAAAGTAGAGAAAAAAACCGAAGTACGTAGAGGTGAGTTAGTCAGGAAAAGGGAGAGATTCCGTGTTGCCACCCAAGAACGTCAAGTTGCTGCTCAAACCCCTTAACCGTAGATTCCCTGATAACACTTTCCGGAAGCATGTTCCAGCGGTCGATAACTCGGCGTGACGGTCGGATTTCCACCCTAATCCGATCGGACCGCGGTTTGTCCAGCTTCAAGGAATGACCGCGTAGAACAGACAATCGAGCAGGACTAAATAGCCAAGATAAAACTGGACCAACCTTCCCAGTTAAGATACGGTAGGTTAGGATTAGGTCTCCTCTAAGCCTTCGGTAGTGCATTGAATGCATTCCCAAACTAAGTAGACGCTCGGGGTACGTCCGTCCCCGTAATCCCTCGACTAACCTAGTAGCCACTCGTAAAACCCTCTCTAGCCCCATTTTGTCCCGAACGAGGCAGGGCGGACAAGCCTGGACGCAGTATTCTAGATGAGACAGAACGAAAGCTGAACAGCCTCGTAAAGATGTCGCCCGTCAAGACTCCGAAAGATCGTATTAACCACAACATGCGGAAACCTCTACTTGCGGCCTTCCAGTTGTCGCCGGAGTGTAAAGCCGAGCAGTGTACGACTTCTAGGTCAATCTGGTTAGATACACGGGGGAGTTCGACTCCGTAGACTAAGTACTTCGTAGGAAAACAACCGCCTCCAATTCGAAGAACGGAGCACTTTGCTTGATTTATGGGCAGTAACCATAAAGTAGACAAGTCCCAAAGATTATCCAATGCTCGTTGAATAGCTTCGGAACCCCCAGGAACATCGACAATGTTCCACAGCTTCAGGTCATAAGCAAATAGCAGCGATGGTATCTCAAGCTCCGCGGGTAGATCATTCACGTAGATAGAGAACAGCAGCGGTCCAAGGACCGAGCCCTGCGGCACGCCACTGTGGACAGACAGCCTAAACGATAGGCTCCGGCATACCCATACACACTGTTCTCTATCCTCCAAGAAGGCAGTCACCCAATGAAGGGCGCGGCCAGATACCCCGTAGGACAGCGTTTGCGCGAGCCTCAAATGGGGTACCTTGTCAAATATCTTCGAAAAGTCGACGAAAAGCACGTCCAGCGCGTGACTGTTATCCATTGCATCCGCCCAACTTTCGCGAGCCACTAGTAGATTAGTCAGACACGAAAATCCTTTCCGGAATCCGTGTTGCACTTTGCTAAGTAAATTAAATCTATTCAGATGACTCTCCAATGAATGTCTCACCAGTTTCTCGAGTTGATTACTACACTCGTCAAACTAACTGGAATGTAATTTGCAAGCAGACCCCTGCCCCCATTTTTGAAGATGGGACAGATGACAGCTTCCTTCCATTCGGAAGGCAATGCACAGCTGTCAAGCGATTTTTGAAACACAATAGCGAGCCGTCCACTTAGTTCCGCAACCAACTCATGCAACAGTTTCGGATGAATTAAAGCTGGCCCAGAGGTCTTAGAAGGGTTCAGCCCTTGTAACAGCCTACGAACTTCCGTCTCCGCTACAATAAATTTAGATAATTCTGAACCCTCTGGGGTCCTGCAAACTAGCTCAACGCCTGTCAAAGAGGTTTCCCTTACAAACGTTGTCGCATATTGTCCACTAAGTAAGCAGGCCTTGTCATAGTCCGTAGACGCATGAGTACCGTCATCACGCATCAATACTGGAATTGACATGTTCGAACTGCAGCGCCTTTTGACATAAGCGAAGAATCTTTTTGGATTCTCTGAAGCTTCGTCCGCTAACCCTTTCTCGAAATTGAGTCGAGCATCCCTTAGGTGTTGCTTACAACTATTTCTAGCCTTACGGTACCTGTCATAAGTACCGGTTGACGGAGCATCTCGGTAAGTCCGCCAACATCTAGACCTCTTTGTGAGCAGATGCCTGCTAGTGGGATCTATCCAGGGCGGCTGTGCTCGTGCCTTCTTTCTCCAGGTGACTGGGATGAAGGGAGCAGAGACCTCTGTGTGGTAGGACTTAAATTTATCCCAGGCAACCTGGACAGTATCGTCGTCTGAGATCTCACAATGTAAACCCGAAGCCTTGGCTCTCATGGATTGATAGTCTGCGTGCCATATGTTCGGGCGAGACTCAACACTATTCTGGTAGCGTCTAGACAGAGTACAACTGAAAAGCAAACAAACATGATCACTGGAACCCAGTGGAGGTCCGTAAGTGATGTCACCAACAAAATCGAGTGACTCAGCAAATACAAGGTCTAAGATAGACGGTATTGAGCGTCCATGTACCTAGTGGGGAGGTCAATGAACTGGTGCAAAGAAACTTGGAGCGTAAGCTCAAGCAGATCAGCCCCGAATGTGCCTGACGCTGAGTCGCAAGAAAGATCTGCCTATCGAATCTCTGGGAGGTTGAAGTCGCTCATCACCAAACACTTATTTGCGGACTGGGAGCGAATGAATTCAATTACCTCTTTGGATACGCTCCCGGGACTTCTATACACAATTACAACTGTAACCTGAGCCGAGGATGTGCTAATAACAGCCGACAGAGCTTCAACAGTTTTGTCTGCTGACTGAAATAAGCAAGTCTTCAAAACATCAAGTCTACCGCTCACATAAAGAGCTACGTCCCCTCCCTGTCGGCCAGCAGAGCAATCGCATCTAAATAATGCGTAGCCAGGTAGATGTACTTCACCATCCGTGATGTCCTGAGACAGCCACGTTTCAGTGAATGCGAGTATATCGGGATGAGACCCATCTACAAGCAGACCTAACTCGTACACCTTATTCCTTATGCTGCGCACATTACTTAACACTACCTGAAGGTAATCGTTAGATCCAGACCTGGGTCGTGCGTTACCAGAATGGGCAGTGGTAGTGCGGAAAAAGACTGCCGGCTGACCATTCGAAAACCCACTAACCGGCCGCTCGCCTACTTTTGAGGTCCTTGATGACCTCCCTTAGCTTCAGCCTAGCGGCCAGCGGAAGGTCCGGCTGAACGCTAATATTTGTACCTTTCAGCTTAGACGTAAACCGCATGAGAGCGCTGCATTCCTCCGGGGTAGAGAGTACCACATGAAGTAGCCGCGGTCGAGGGTTTGGTATGTTAACTGTGACGTTCCCCAGTCTAATCAGCTTCCTGACAGTAACGCCTGGAAAACCAGGCGGAAGAAGCATGGTTACGCACATTTTAAATCATCGAAGATCGTCCAACATGCGATCAGCAGGAAGTACAGCAGTAGACTCAGCCGCGTTACGGAATATAACGCTACTATCCGTGAAAGAATCGCCACGACAGGGTGTATTAATCCCACGCGTCTTTGATTTCATACTTGGAGCAGGTGGTTTCACAACTGGTGATGGGACTGTCTTTAGCCCCTCCGATGAGGTAGCAACGGCAGCGTGTTTTTCGCTTCATTGTCCATGTCTTATTTTGGTTAGGGTTATCGATTCCACCGATAGGCCCTATGGCAGATTTGGTCTGCTTTTTCTTCTTGATAACGGGAGCAGGGTCCCGTGAGGCTCTTTCGCTTTGAGCAAAAGCAAGCAAACCCTCAGGACATGCCTTCTCGGTGAGAACCGAGATTGTCGACAACTTCGGCTGACAAGTAGTGCATGTTGGAATCTTCGCCTTCGCACAACCGTCAGACGGTTTGCCAAGTAACGACAAGGCTTGTTTCGGGTGCAGACAACTGTAACTTCTTGTTTAGCAGAGAGCTTACGGGGTTCCCTGGCTCTCTTTCGCTTTACTCGAAGGGGCCCTTGAACTAGCAACTCGGCGTCGATCAGGGTAGCTTTAGACAAGACGTCCGAAGCTACTTCATTTTTGTGGTCGGTAGTCATCTGGAACGATGACATAATGATTGATGCCACATCGTATAGATCTGGACCGATGTTACAACATGCAAGGCGAAGCCACCCCTCACAGAAGTTCAAGTTCAAGTGGGACCGGAACAGTAG